ACAACAATCAAACGAAGCAAGATGCTTGACGAGTTCGGGAAAGCAGGCGTCTTCCAAGGGGAGCTAAGCTTCGTTCCCCAAACGACGCGGCCCTACCGCTCTCGCGCGCCCTCCGCTCACCCGACCGCTGGGCGGCCCCTCCGGACCGCGTTCGCCGCTCCGACATGCCCACGATCCGGCTCAGTCTCCGCCGCAGTTGCCAACCTACGCTCGCGCCGACCGGGAAGCTTGTGTCCACAAACGTTCAAATTACCCGCCTAAAGAGGAAGGAAGCGGAAGTGACGCAAGAAGAAGGCCGGCCCTTGGACAACCTCTTTGTCGCCAAAGGTTTACGTCTTGCGTAAAGCCGAGGCTTGGCCTGGGGGCGCTGTGGCGTCATCAGCGTGCGCCGCACCCGGAAGAGACGTGGCAGCGGAGGGATAATCAGAGCGGCCGGAGCCGAAGGGAGCAGCGCTTCAGCTACCGGAGTGGGTCAACGCAGTCTCCGACCTTCCGCGCTTCCCACCACCCTACGCAGCTCGTCGCGACCGGTATCGCGGAGGTTCTCTGAGAACCAGAATGGGGTCTGCCTGATGGGGGCGGGGCCAAGAGGGGGTGGGGTCTTGGGGGCGGGGTTGGTGATTTTGGAGTTCTTGATGGAGAAGTCGTACGCCTTGGGGTGGGGTCGTGATGGAATGAGGGGTCGCCTGTGGTAAAGTCTGTGTAGGGGGCGTGGCTTTCCTCGTACTGAAGCCGTTTGGACTGGTGTGGAACGGGTCTGGGGGGATTTAAAAAAAGAAACGAACTGGATTGGTGAGAACAAAGTGGCAGTCACCAGAACCTGGTTTCTTGCTAACTCAGACATCTCCCTAGGATCGATCATGGGACTTTGCAAGTGTCCCAAGAGGAAGGTGACAAACCTGTTTTGCTTCGAACACCGAGTCAACGTCTGCGAGCACTGTCTGGTAGCCAATCACGCCAAGGTGGGTCGTTTGGAGCAGTGGCTGAGTAGGGCACTGGGTGGGCAGGCAAGATGGGCTCCTTCCAAATCCATGAGGTACTCTAGCTAGGTTGTACGCTAACCAAGGGCAAGGGCTTGGGTATAGTTCTCTCTGCTGGGCCTTCAGTAGGTGTTCAGTTCATGCTCACTGGCTAAACAGAAAAACAAGGCAGGAGCCTGGACACCAGTTGTGCCATCTCTCTCCCACTCCAGTGCATCGTGCAGTCCTACTTGCAGTGGCTACAAGATAGTGACTACAACCCCAACTGCCGCCTGTGCAGCACTCCCCTGGCCAGTCGAGAGACAACCCGTCTTGTCTGCTATGGTGAGGCTTGGGCACTGGGAAGGGGTCTGGGCAGCTCTAGGGTCTGGGCAGCTCCAGGGTCTGGGCAGCTCCAGGGTCTGGGCAGCTCCAGGGTCCAGCTTGGGCACTGGTCTGCTAGCACCCTTCTAGCAGCAAGACAGTGAGCCTCTCAAGCCTGGAGGCTAGAGCCTCAGATCCCGATCCTGTTAGGTGCTTCCCTGCTTTGTAAGCCTAGGCAAGCCTTTTCCTTTCACGTCTTCCTGCTCTGCCAGTCTTCGAGAGCTGGAGATGACTGTGAGCAAGATTCATTGTTCAGGAACGTTACTGACTCCAAGACTGAACAGAGAGGAAGCGCCTCCCACGTTACAGTTAGAGGGAGTCAGTAGCCACAGCCTAGTGTAAAAGCCTCAGCTTAAGTCTTTCAAGATGCTGGTACAAAGGGGGCAGCTTTTTACCTGGTTTTCCCATGAAACTGTGTGTATACTCATACAAAGGTGTACTTTAATACTCATGGGAGAGTTAGTGGATAACAAGTGTATATGAACACGTGTACTGTAGAGTGCATGGTGACATGAATGTATATGAACACGTGTACCGTAGAGTGCATGGTGACATGAATGTATATGAACACGTGTACCGTAGAGTGCATGGTGACATGAATGTATATGAACACGTGTACCGTAGAGTGCATGGTGATATGAATGTATATGAACACGTGTACCGTAGAGTGCATGTGACATGAATGTATATAAACACATGTATCGTAGAATTCATGATGACATGAGGGTGATGGATTCTGAGTATCAGCTGACATGAATCTACAGATGTGTATACCTTACATGAGTGACATCCAGTGTAGGTTGAGGGAATTGTTCTTGGGTTTGCTTATATTTTTATAAGTATGTGTATATTTGTGCCTCTGGATATATGCATGAATCTGTGCATATGTCTGGAAGCTTTCCTGAAAGTATTCTTGTATGTAGTTCTTTCTTTCTTCCTTTCTTTCTTCTTTCTTTCTTTCTTTCTTTCTTTCTTTCTTTCTTTCTTTCTTTCTTTCTTTTTTATCTCACAGGGATGACCTTGACCTCTTGATCCTCTTGCCTCCACCTCCCAAGTGCTAGGTTTATTAGCCCAAGGAGTGTGATGAGTTTAGGCCCAGAGAAGACTCTTGATAGGGTAGATGGCATTTTCTTCCCAGCCACACCTTCTCCTTATGGACTGACCAAGTCTAATGTACTGTGATTTAGTACAGTGGTATTCACAAGAAGGCTGAATGAAGCCTTAGAGACCAGGGGTGAGGAGAAAAAAGAATGGCCCTGGGTATCCACATATATGTCCATTCATTCCTGCAATGAGCTGGCAGGGGCAGGGCAGGGGGCATTGCTATGCCTAGGCTAAGAGCCCAGAGTTGTCTTTATCTTTCTTTTCCTTCTTATTTCATGGGCCCTAAGATCTCTTCCACTGGGCCTGCATCAACGAACGTGCTGCTCAGCTCCCACGGAACACGGCTCCTGCGGGTTACCAGTGCCCCAGCTGTAATGGCCCCATCTTCCCCCCAGCCAACCTAGCTGGCCCCGTGGCTTCAGCACTGAGAGAGAAGCTAGCCACGGTCAACTGGGCCCGGGCAGGACTGGGACTTCCTCTGGTGAGAGTCCCCCTGCCTGTCTGGTCATCTGTTTGCCCTGACCCCCACCTGAGCCAGATTGGATGGGTGAGCAGCCAGGCTGCTAACTTAGATTCCTTTCTCCAGATCGATGAGGCGATAAGCCCAGAGCCTGAGCCCCTCAATTCCTCAGACTTCTCTGACTGGTCCAGCTTTAATGGTAAGGGTGGCCTCCATCTGCTGTCTGGGTGGGCCTTGCCTCCCTGTTCCACTGACAGTTCTTTCTCCATCCACAGCTACCAACCCCCCTGTGAAAGAAGAGATAGACAGCACGTCTGTTGCTCCAGCTTTCTACACCCAGGTTCCCCACCCCCCTTCTTCCCCAAGCCACCCCGAGCAGCACACCGTCATACACATGGGTGGTACTGAGGCCCTGACACACGGTGAGCTGGGGAATTTCCGCAGTCAGAGAATGGGAAAGTATGGGTGATTTGTGTGGCGAGAGCTCAGGAGCCCCATGTGGAATGGCTCTTCCTCACTCCAAGGACAGATATTGCCTCCCCACAATTTCCAAGAATGTTGGCTGAGGTTTTCTCTCTCACCAAGTTCCACATCCGTTTAGTCCAAAGAAACACACAGAGGTCTACATTAATTATAAACTGATTGGCCTATTAGGTCAGGCTTCTTATTAATTTCTATAACTTATATTAATCTATAATATTTGTCTGTGTTAGCCACGTGGCTTGGCACCTTTTTCGGCAAGGCATTCACATCTTGCTTGCTCTGTGTCTGGCTTCCTTTCTGGGTGACGACTGCAGACTGAAACTTCCATCTTCCCAGAATTGTCGTTGCCCTACCTATACTTCCTGCCTGGCTATTGGCCAATCAGCATTTTATTAAAAATAATACAAGTGACAGGATGAAAGACCACTGTCCCACAGTACAAGATGCTCTGTTAGGTTGGGAGAGCAGGAGATTCTTTGTCCCACCTCCACGCGTGCCACAGGGCCAGTTTGTCTGAGCCTGTTCATGCTGGTGTTTCTATCCCTATAGCCCCAAGGAAGGTATATGACACACGGGATGATGACCGAACAGCAGGACTCCATGGAGATTGTGATGACGACAAATATCGCCGCCGGCCTGCTCTGGGCTGGCTGGCCCAACTTCTCAGGTACATGGAGACATGCAGGATGAGTGTCAGAAAGGAGAGGCCCCATGGTGGACAATTTAATGGCAGTAGGCTTGTTCTGGGCACTGGCAGGATCCAGTGCCAGGGCCACAATGAGGTCCTGGCTGGCAGGCAGGCTTACTATTCATGTCCTTTTCAGGGGCTGTGCCCTTTGAAATTAGGCTCTGAGGCCCCTTCCTGCTGTGATGTCACCTGATTTTTATTAGTCTCCTTCATGTTCAAGCTTCCAGGACAATTTGTGTGTTACTGGCTCAAGCTTCATAATAACCCCAGATGATGGCCAGTGCAGGGGAACAGGGGTGATCACTCCCGGTGCACAGATAAGGAAATTAAGGCCTAAAGATAGTGGCTAAGACTTCTCTCTGTGCCAGGGCAGGGTCCTAGGGCCTCACCTGACTTTTGCTCATTCCTCTCAGGAGCAGGGCTGGGTCCCGGAAGCGGCCACTGACTCTGCTCCAGCGGGCAGGGCTCCTGCTCCTGCTGGGGCTGCTGGGCTTCCTGGCACTCCTTGCCCTTATGTCTCGCCTCGGCCGGGCTGCAGCTGACAGTGATCCCAATCTGGACCCACTCATGAACCCTCACATCCGTGTAGGTCCTTCCTGAGCCTGTGCTTGTCTGGCCCAGCTTAGGACCCGAAGTCCTGGGGAGAGAAGGTCGGTGAGGCCTGGGAGCTTTTCTCTCTACTCCTTTTCCTCAGTCCTGAGTCACTACAATCCCCTGGACCAAGTCAGCTGGAGGCTGAGGCTGCAGGCCAGGTCTGTAGCCCTGTTGGTCGTTTTGGTCTTCACTTGCTGGTTCCTGGGTCTCCAGCCTCTACTTAACCCTCAACGGAGCAGACAGGTGCAAATAAACAACAGACTTTATTAAAACACCTGAAGCAGCTTTTTCCATCTCCCTTCTCAGCCCTGTCCCCAATCCCCAGGCCTCAGTGGTTCTCCTCTCGGTAATTGATGGCCAGAAACTCCAGGGACATGCGGTTGAAGAACATGGCTCCATTGAGTACTGGGTGGAGGAGAGAGCCCATCAGCTCAACAGTTTTGTCCCCTCCTTGACACTTCTCAGGGTTTCAAAACTCCCCCTCCTTGTAAGCACACCTCCCCACTCACTCAGGATGATCAGAGCAAAGCAGCGAAGAAACTTGTCACTAGTCATCTCTGCGTAGAGTGACCCCATGGCAGCCCAGCAGATGCTGATCACCTGGGAGAACTGGGAGAGGGGTCCAGTGGGAGAGCGGCCCCTGACGTAGACACTTTCATCAGCCCCTTTGCTTTCCCCAGCCCTCGAGCCCCTCCCCAGACCTACTATCAGGACAACCGTGTATCGGAAGCTCATGCGGTCGTAGTGGTGGCTGACACAGAAGTTGTGAACATCACTAGCAAATACACCCATGTGTAGGAAGAAGAGCATTAATGCAGCTACGGTGAGCATCATGCCTGGAGGGAAGAAGAATACGGCTATTCGGTCCCGCCATCTCATCCTGGTGACAGCCTGGACTCAAGTCAGGCTCAGGAACTGGAGCAAGTGGTTAGTGTCCAGAGACAGTAAAGTCCTGCCATTCTAGGGTATTCTGGCAGAAACAGTAGTGTATTCCAGAGTGAGGGAGGCATTGAAGAGGACAAGGTTCTAGAACATAGCCTGATTCCAACAAACAGAAGAATGTTTCTGAGTATTGAGATGTTCCCTTGTGGAGTGGCAGGCAGAATGAGCTGAACAGCAGGAGCCTGTGGTGTAGGCAAGGGGCAACAGCCCACACCATTCTGTCCTCTGTACTTCCTGGCAGCTCAGTATTCCCACAGGAGACGTTGTACAGGGGACAGGCAAGGGCTCAGAAAGGTGAAGGAGTATGTCCTAGCTCCACAACAAGGCTTTTGGCTTTGATTGTTTGGTTTTCGGTTTTATTTTGTTTTGTTTTAAACACAGGATTTCTTTGCATAGCTCTGACTATCCTGGATTTTGCTCTTAGAACAGGCTAGCCTCAGAGATCCTCGTGTCTTTAAAATAGAGAGCGCTAAACCGGGCGGTGGTGGCACATGCCTTTAATCCCAGCACTTGGGAGGCAGAGGCAGGCGGATCTCTGTGAGTTTGAGACCAGCCTGGTCTACAAGAGCTAGTTCCAGGACAGGCTCCAAAACCACAGAGAAACCCTGTCTCGAAAAAGCAAAAACAAAACAAAAAAACGCTATTTTAAAGGTGCGAGCCACCATGTCGAGCTCGTCCACAGCAGGCTTTAGGCAGGTGAGTGGTTAGTGCGTAGATGAGTAGCTAAATGCTTTCCCAGTGGAGGGAAGGCTTTGGCCAAATCCCAAGCTTTGGCTCTCTAAACTGAAACACTGGAGTTCATGTCCCTTGTCACCACAGATTTCAATAAGCAGAGACAGGAAATGAATCTAAACTGCCCTTTCTTCAGAGAATCTTCTGGATTGCTACAGACTGATCCACAAATCTGCCTCCCCCTCCCAGTTCTGGCTACCAGATTTCATAGGGAACCAGACACAGCAAAATGTAGTCGTCCCTCTGATTGCGTAGTTGGCCTTGTCCCCAAGTTCCACAGGGTCTGTGCTGCTTTTCCTGTCACCTGTGTCCTGTGCTTTGCCCTCCTTGTCTCTGTGCAGTGCTGGTTTGAGCCCTTCCAAGGCCTGTGTATTTTTATAGCATGAAGTACAAGTAATCTTCTAAAGATTTCATTACTTTAGTTAATGCTAATTAATTTAATTTAGAGTTGATTTTGTTTGTTTGAAACAAGGTCTCGGGGCTGGAGAGATGGCTCAAAGGTTAAGAGCATTGCCTGTTCTTCCAAAGGTCCTGAGTTCAATTCCCGGCAACCACATGGTGGCTCACAACCATCTGTAATGGGGTCTGGTGCCCTCTTCTGGCCTGCAGGCATACACACAGAATATTGTATACATAATAAATAAATAAATATTTTTTTTTTAAAAAAAAGAAGGTCTCACTAGGCATCTCTGGTTTACTCTGGAACTCATTGTGTAGACCAAGATGGCCTCAAACTCACAGAGATCCACCTGCTTGGACCACAGGTGTGTGCCCCTATGCCCGCCGAATTTATTTCAGTGTATGGTAGGTGGATTTAGCGTGCTCACATGGCATAGTGCATATAGGACAATTTTCAGGAACCCAGGCTAGGTTGGCCTCAAAATTACTATAAGGATGATTTTGACCCCCTCCTAATCTTTGCTCCTGAATGCTGGGACTCTAGGTAGGAACACACCACCGTGCCTGGTGGTTTTCTTTTTAAATTTTTAAATTTATTTATTTTATTTTTTATTTTTTCTGTATGTATGAGCATTTTGTCTTCATACACATGTGTTCCTGGCTCCCCATGGAGGCCAGAAGAGGACATTGGATCCCCCAGGATTGGAGTTACAGACAGTTGTGAGTCTGGGAACATGGGTCATCAGATAGAGCAAGTACTTTTAATTGCTAAGCCATCACTCCAGCTTAAATTCACCTTCATAAACTATAGCTTCATAGGCTGAAATCTTCATGTACACAGTTTCTAAACAACCCAGTGAACCAGAAGTAAAGATACTTTTGGTCCAAGACCATGTGAATAAATAAATGCTTTGGGGTTTGTGGGACATTTAGACTGTGACAAGAGGAGCCATAAATGATAGGTAAAGAAATGGGCACTGGGGCTGGAGAGATGGCTCAGTGGTTAAGAGCACTGGCTGCTCTTCCAGAGGTCCTGAATTCAATTCCCAGCAACCACATGGTGGCTCATAACCATCTGTAATGAGATCTGGTGCCCTCTTCTGGCGTGCAGGCATACATGGAGGCAGAATGTTGTAAACATCTTTTTTTTTTTTTTTTTAAAGAAATGGGCAGTGAGCACACTTGGGAGGCAGACAGATCTCTGTGAGTTCAAGGCCAGCCTAGTCCTCAGAGTGAGTTCCAGGACAGGCTCCAAAGCTACACAGAGAAACCCTGTCTCAAAAAACCAAACAACCAAACAAATAGCAAAAGAAAGTGGTGAAGACTAGGTATTGCTCTTGCAGTTTGGCCCCAGCATTCATGTTGGGAAGCTTACACAAGCTGTGACTACAGCTCCTAGGTATCAGACACACCCTCTTCCGGCCTCCTCAGGCACCTGCATACACATAACTAAAGACAATATGTATTGAGACTGGACAGATCAGATGTCACATACATTTTAATATTTAAAATTTGTGTTTTTTGGAGACAGGGTTTCTCTGTGTAGCTCTGGCTTCCTGGTACTTGATCTGTAGACCAGTCTGGTCTCAAACTCAAGAGATCCAAGTGCTGCCTCCCAAGCGCTGGAGTTAAGGGTGTGTGCCACCATCACCCGGCTATTACTATTTTTGAGACAGGGTTTCTCTAGCTTTGGAGCCTGTCCCGGAACTTGCTCTATAGACCAGGTTGGTCCCAACTCAAAGATCTACTTGCCTCTGCCTCCCAAGTGCTGGAATTAATAGTGTGGCATGGCTATTCGTGGTTTACAGATTAAAATAGGTGGTAGTCAGCGTTTGGTCTATAGGACTCCTGGCAGACCACCACCCTATCAGCCCATCCTCGGTAACGTTTACATACATCACTGGTAAAGTCTCATTTTCTTCTATTTAATTCAGCATATTCCAATCTGACCTCGTTCTCTCCTCTCTTGAGAGCTTCGCCTCTATGAATGCCCGAGTCTTTTGTCTAAATCAGAAATTGAGGAATTATCAATCCCAGCTCCGCACTCAGCACATCTCCCCAGCCACTTCAGGTTTGCAGGGTCTGTTCTGAAAGCACCATAGAATAGAGGTTCTCATATTGGGTGTGAGTAGAAACCCCGCAGGACCTTGGGAAACAATGCCCTAGTGCCACAGTATAGACTACTGAGTGGACACTCAGATCTTTGCAGACCTCCTGTGAAGCATATTCCCTAAATTTAATGCCCATTCAGTTAATCTAGGCACATATTCCATGAGTCTTTCCTGTCGGGATGCAGGAGTGGGACGCCAGGACTCGCCCACTTTACTGCCGTACACATTCACAGGAGTCAGAAGCTCAGCGAAACCTCTGCACGCCAGAAACGCAAGGCGGAACTTTAGTCTCACACGTCCTATAGCTGCAGAGGAACGTTTCACCTAAAGGACCGCCTGGTTTCAACTACGTTATGGCTCCCGGAAGTGTTTCCCTTCCCCTCCCCAACTTTATCCCCTTGTGCTGCGGTTGGAGCTATGGCGGCAGCGGCAGCTGTGGGGCCCGGGCCCGGGGACTCCCCAGAAGGACCCGAGGCGGACGCTCCGGGGCGTCGGCGGAAGACTCATGGGATGCTGAAGCTTTACTACGGCCTCTCGGAAGGGGAAGCAGCGGGGCATTCTGCGGGGCCTGACTCTCTAGACCCGACAGATCTCAATGGGGCGCACTTCGACCCGGAAGTTTATCTGGACAAGGTGTGTGTGCGAAGTGGGGCGGGTCCATACCCCCAATATACTACTGGACCCTAGGTCATGCCCCGCAGTTAGTTGATGTGGTGAGGGGAGCGAGAGTTCGTAAAAGGAGGACGGCCCTTACTGGGCAATAGGGGCAGATCTGGAGCTCAGCGAGCACTGAACCGGTTAGGACTGACGGGAGGGGGGGGATACAGGGTCTGTGGTCTCGATGCTGACGTTCTGATAGGCCCGGGTCGTGGGCGTGGCCATGTCCTGACAGGCGCTAGACTGGACCTGGTTTAAGATGAGCCTGAAGAGTTTGAAAGCTGACAAATTCCAAACTGGGTCTAATCTAGTAACCCCTGAAGTATGTCACTTATAGGTTCTATATCTGGAATTCCTAATAAAGGTGGAATCACTGTTGTCTTACACGGAAAGCCAGCTAAGCTAAGGCAAGGCAGGGGGCCATGAATGAGCACTAACACTGACTGCTCCTAACTGCTTCTCTAGCTGCGTAGAGAATGTCCTCTGGCCCAGCTGATGGATAGTGAGACGGACATGGTGCGACAGATCCGGGCTCTAGACAGCGACATGCAGACCCTGGTCTATGAGAACTACAACAAGTTCATCTCGGCTACAGGTGATCCCGCTGGGAGACACTCCTTCCAGCCCTTACCTCTCCCCTGTGCTGAGAAAAACGGATCAAAGGAAAGAGACCCAGATGATAATTTTTCCCAACGTCAATCCGCTGTCACCTCTGTCCTGGTCTGTGTGGTTAGACTCTTATGCAAGCAGCGGTTACTATGGGAGGGTTGTCCTAACGACCAGAGGAAGGGAGGAAGGATAAAATGAAGTGAGTTTATCTGAAGTGTTTAGGAAGCACTCGGGAGTTTCAGTAAACTTTAGTTTTTGTCTTTTTACATTTATTTATCTTGGATATGTGTGTATCGGCTTCCCGAGTCAGTTCTCTCCAGCATGTGGGTCCCAGGGATTGAACTCAGGTCATCAGGCTTGATGACAGGCACATTTACCTGCTGCTAAACCATCTCACAGGCAATCAATTTTTTTTTTTAATTTTATGAGTAGTAACTTTTGTTTCTGGTCAGTCTGCCTCAAGGGTAAACTTGTCGCTCCCGTCCTTTCTCTGTCCTCATTCCTTATGACTTAGTAGTGTTTAATTATGTGTGTGGATATGTACGTGTAAGGGCAGGTGTCCTTGGAGGCCAGAGACCAGAGGTGTCAGGTCCCCTGGAGCTGGGTTCCAGTCTCTTGTGAGCTGACTGACATGGGCGCTCAGCACTGAACTCAGGTCCTCTCTAAGAGCACTACACTCCCAGCCGTTGAACTGTCTCTCCAGCCCTAGTGCCTGACTGCTCAGGTCTCCTCCCACTGCCTTCTAGCTTCATTTCAGAAGATACTCTTGAGGTTTGTGTAATAACACTAAACCGCACCCGGGAAGCAGGCCACAGAGCATGTTACGTCTGGGGGCGTGTGTCTTTACAGGTAGTACTGCTCTCCCGGTGTCACAGTGGCGGCTAAGTGACACATCCTCGCTGCTCTTTTATCTGATTTCAAGCAGGTTGATCGAAGTAGGTGCTTGTCTATTAATGCTAGCCTTAGGATGAAGGGAGACAGTGATTTCTGTGCTGAGGAATTTTCCACAGGAATTTTGCCAGTATTACATTTTCTCATTTGTTAGAGTATGTGTAGTGTTTGACATTTATCTGTTGCTTAATAGAGATGACTTGAGTATTTTCTTAACTTTTTTCTAAGGAAGGGAAAAATCATAAAGTGAGCGTTAGGAGAGCTGAGATGGCTAACCCACAGAGACTAGGCTTGGCAAGATGGCAGAGTTTTACATTTCCTCAAGAAACACACTGGCCCTGGCGACAGATGTCTGTGATGCCAGCATTCCAGAAGCTGAGGGAGAAGGTTAGCATGAGTACAAGGCCAGACTGAGCTACAGAGCAGTGGATTTGAAATAGCAGAAGAGCTGGCTGTGGTGAGAGACAGAAGGGTCTCTGTGAATGTGATACCAGCCTGGTCTACCTCTGACTGTGAGGCCAGCCAGAGCTGTGACACAGCTCTTTAAGAAAAGCTCCCCTCACCCCCCAAAAAAAGAAGGAAAGAAAGAAAAAGAAACCAGAAGGATGAGCAAACTTGAAGATAGGTCAGTTGAGATGATGTAGTATGAAGGGTAGGAAGTAAAAAAATAAAGTTGAGGACTGGAGAGATGGCTCAGAGGTTAAGAGCACTGGCTGCTCTTCCAGAGGTCCTGAGTTCAATTCCCAGCAACCACATGGTGGCTCACAACCATCTGTAATGAGATCTGGTGCCCTCTTCTGGCCTCAGGCAGAATGCAGGCAGAACACTGTATACATAATGAATGAATAAAGAAAGAAAAAAAGTTGAAACAAAGTGGGCACAACGGAACACCCGCATAATTCAAACAATGAAGAGGTAGAAACAGGAAGTTTAAGGCCAGTTTGAGCTTTAAGAGACTCTGTCTCACAAGAAAACAAAACTTTCAATAGGTTGTGTGTGGATATGTACCAGAATATGGACTGGAGGTGTACCTCAAGAGTTTGCCCAACATGCAGAAAGTCCTGCATTTGGCTCCCTGTTTTTGCTGTTTCAAATACCCAGTGGGGATCGCTCAGCAGGTAAAGATGCTTGTCGCCTGACAACCTGAGTTCAGTCCTTGGGACCCATGTGGCTGAGTAAGAGAACCAACTCCCAAAGGTTGTCCTCCGACCTCCACATGAGAAATGTGGAGTGCACAGGTGCTCACATGTGCACAGCACGCTCCTCCCATTACATAATCACATGAACGAAAAATAAGCTCATGGAAAGATGTTCCATATTGTTATTGATTAAGGACGTGTGGCTTCTCTGCACACCCACTAGTATTGCCATAATTACATAAATAATAATGTTGGTTGGGATGTGGAAGATACAGAGCCCTAATAAAGTAGCAGTGGAAATACAGAGTTGTACCCCCAGTGTAGAAAAGCTTGGCCAGTCCTCAAAAAGCCCACAAAAAAAACAAAACAAAAAAATCTTGGGCAGTAAATCCTATTGAAAATTAATAGACTTCCAAGCCAACAAGGGCTACATAATGAAAACCTGTCTCACAGACAAAACAAAAAGCAAAAGATTAAGAGGCTTTTGGAATATACTCATAATATGGACGCCACAAAGGGAACACATCCACATAGTCAGCAGCCAGACCAGAAAGAAGCATGCCAATGGCTGGGATGGAGCTCAGTGGTAGAAGACTTGTTTAG